AAGTCGAATAAGTGCTTCAGGAGTGTGTGAGTGCGCTCATTTGAAGGCTCTGGGGCAGAGACAGCAACTACAGCGCACCATGGCCCATCAACCATGAACTACTCCCCTCCTCACCCACACACACACACACACACACACACACACACACACACACACACACACACACCACACACACACACACACACACCACATACACACACACACACACACACACACACACACACACACACACACACACCAAACTGCCCGAGTGAAGTTGCCCGCCCCCCTCCGCCACATTCTTCAAATTAAACAAAATCGGTGTCAAACATTTTTGCTATGTTTGTATGTGCGGCTATCATTTCAAAGATATGAAGTGTTACGACGTCGTCAAACATGCTGCCATCAATTTTATTGATTTTGTTAATGTTGCGGAGGGCAAGTTGATGTCTGGTCACATCAACTTGCCTTAAACATTATAACGTTATAAACATTATAATGTTTATAATCTTAATAACGGCAGAAACCAAAATCTTTGCTGCACAAACTCAGCTCAGTTGATTAACACCATATTCAGTTTGATTTTGTTTGATCAACCCTGGAAACATTGATTATTATCTTTAAAAAAATAGCGGCACCAATGACAACCTTTGCAGCACAAACGTTTGACGGCAACTTCACCCATGTCAATAAACGTGGCGTCTGACACAAAATTGTGAATTATGAATGAAAACACACTTGCATTAATGATTATTAAGCTCGCACGTGGATCAGTGGAGACACGGAAACCTTTCTGTCCCGGAGCACCGAGCAGGTTTTCCCACAGAGGAGGACACCCGCGTCCCACTTCTGTCGTTCCCTGTCTGACAGCGGCTGTCCTCCGCGGTCGGGTGGCTCGGGCTAAGTCGCCTTCCCTCTCTGTGTAAACGCCTGGCCGACTGCCTGACACACACACACGCACACGCACACACACACACACACACACACACACATTTCCTCGAGCGACTCCTGTCTCCCTGCTGCTCGTCCCGCTCCATGCAGGCCCACAGCCATCTGCCTGCTCGGCCCCCTCTCCCTCCTCCATTCATCCCATTGTCACCACATTGTCCTCTGCTCCTGTCCCTCTGGAGGCTTCACATCTCTGCTCCCCCTAAACCCCCCCACCCCCTTTATTTTTTTTTGAACATTTCTATCTTTTTATTCTTGCTTTCATTTATTTCCTCTCTCTCTTTTTATTGCTTCCACCGAGCATCCACTCTTCCGCATCATGTGGCGCAGCAGCATATTGTTTTCCGTGTACAGTAGCCAGCGCTGACGTCAGGAGGCGGCCCGATCAAAGCCGTCCTGGCCGGCTTCCTGCGTCTGGCCGGGCGGCTCTCTGGCCTTTGTGCCCCTCTGGGAGTTTTAATACTCACTAATCGATCACTTTGTGCCAGCAGAGGTGATAATGTGGCCAAAGCCTAATTGGTGTAGCTGTAAATGAAGAGCAGCGTTGTGCAGGACTTGATTTCAGTCGACTGACTCACAGCCTCGTCCTCGGGGCTCCTGTGCAGTTTGGAGGAAAGACTGGAATTGATTTCGGTTTTTTCCTGGATGCGTTTGGGAAAGGAAGATTAATAAAAAGTACTGGTATTTATTTCCTGTTACACTGTTTAAATGTCGTGTCCTTCCTCCCATTCGTTCTGTCAACTTTGTGAACTTCCTTTGCTCTTCCGTTTTCCCTTCATATGCTTTTTTTACTCCCTTTTATGCTTCCTTGTTTCCTTCATTATTTCCTCCCTTACAGTACATACTTCATTTTGTCATTTCTTTCATTCTTGGGTTCCCTCCTCCCTCCTTGCTCATGTTCCTCCTTCACCTTGTATCCTTCCCTCCTTCCTCCCTTGTGTATTTTCTTCCATGTCCACCACTTCTTTCCCAGCGTCCTTCCTGATGCATTCATTTGATCCTTCCTTCCCTTGATTGTGTCCTTCCTCACTTGTGAATGACCTCATCTTCCTTCTTTACTATTTGCCTCTATCCTTCTTTCCATTCTTCAATCCTTCTTCTCTTCTTTTCTTCCTATCTCCCCTTCCTTCCTTTTTTCCTCCTTCCTTCTTTCTGTCCTTCTTTCCTTCCTGATATACTTGCTCTTGTCCTTCCCTTCCTGCGTCCCTGTCCTTTCTGTTTTACTTATCCGTATTTGTTATTTTCTGTGGTATACTTTTACCCTTTTTCTTTCCTTCTTTCTGTGGTCAGTCCTTATATTCTCCTCTCCTTCCTTCCTTTCCTCCTTCCAGTTTTCTGTTTTTGCGGCTCTTCTCGTAGCGTGCGCTCCTTTCCAGGCTAATAAAAATTCCTCAGACCTCTGGTCTCAGTGTGTTAGGCGGCGCTTTAATGCCGCTCTTATGAAGAGAGATACGGCGAGAGGAACCCAGGGGAATCGGCAAGGCGAGGCCGCTCCGCGGAGGATAAAGGAGGGGGGACGCGAGCACACGGCGCAAGTCTGGAAATTCAATTATAAGTGTGCCCTGGCCGTGAATCCAGTGGCATTAATGGGTACGGCAGAGCGGGAAAAGAGATAGAGATGGATGAGGAACGAGGGGTGGGGGAGGAAAAAAGAGGATGAACGGAGAGAAACGGAGGGTTGCACTGAAGTGAAAATGGGAAGATGATGCAAGGTCAGTGCTTGTGTGTCATTATACCTTCATCTTAAGAAAGCTGCCAGTGAAGCAAGCTGCCAGATAAAACACAATCACCTTATTATGAGACTGCGTATTCTTGTTTAAACGTTTAAACTACCTGACTTGAAACTAAATTGAATGAAATATGTCAAGTCGTTGCTAAAGCCCTGATAAGAGTCGATGTAAATCTGCCTCTGTGATCAGGGAGGTCTAGGTTAGAGAGATGCGTCAGAGCTTTGAAAGTGGAAATATGTTATGAAGAACCCTGACAAAACCTGTTTTAGATAACCCTCACCATTTCTTCACTATAATCAAACAGTGATTACTTCCTCAGATAAGGCTTATTCCATGTAGCTTAAAGAGCAAAGCAGGCTAATGTCATTTTAGAAACACTTTAAATCACTTACAGTCTGTAAAAATGACCAAATTCCATGTTTGAAGTGCTCGTTGTTAAATTGGGAGTGTGAACTATTGGCGGTTGTGCTTCGTTTTTTTTCCACATACTTATTCAGTTTCGGTGGAATTTGCTCTTGAGGTTAGATTTGAATAATTTAAAACCCAGATTAGCGGATGTTGTATTTTTAATTCACCATGTTTGTACATAAACCATTAAATACATGAAAAAAATTGTTTGAAGGGCACACATGATCATTTTTACAACCTTTTCTTTATCATTTTATTGGCGCTTGTAGATCCAGATAGTAACATTCATTTTCAAGTTGTGAGAGAAAAGCTTCCAGCTCAAATCAAATGTTTGCCAAAGCATTTAATTCCTGTGTCCATTTATACTTAGTTCTCTTCCAGCTCCATATGTGGTGATTGGAAGGAAAGTCAGTCATTTGGCTCAGACACTGAGAAAAATAGAGGAATATTTGGAGAGGACAATAATGTGAGACACAGAGGTTTAAAAGACTTCAGAAGACAAAGCTTTTTTTATTTGCTGGGAAACTTTGTGCTCACAAACAAGACCCATCCTTACCTCAGTGGTTTGGCAGCTAACAGTGTTACATGTGGGGCATGAACTGGGTTATGCCCTCATCTCTCAGAACTGGGTCGTTTCTTATCTTTTATTCAAAAATGTAGTTGCTTCATAACTCTGGAGCAAAACTCTGCTTTGGTGGCTGTGGAGAAAAATGACCTTCTGACTCAGTTACTTTCATAAACCGCACCTCTTTTTCTTGGCTAGAGGACATTTGGGTTAATGTTTCACTTTTTTTTTCTTTTCTTTTTTACTTTTAACGTAAATCTGAAGCATTTATTTATAAAGAATGCACTTCATGCACGACTCTTCTTTATTCAGCCAGTGACGCGTTGCTCTCTAGTGGTGCCTACTGCTCAGGAGGGGAACTGCAGCGACAGCTGACTCAGTCGCTGCAGTTCGCATTGAGCATTTGATTCTAAAAGAATCAAAGGCATATTGTTTTATGCCTCATTCGAATGCACAAAACAATAAATAACTCATTTATATGAATTGGCCCGTTTGCAGCATGGCTCTCCAGGAGAATGAACATACTACTGTACATGGAGTACACATGAGTTTGACTCTTAACACAGTGACTCACTTACACAATAGCAACCTGATGATGCAGAACTGCAGGACGGCGTCTAGACTAGTAGTTCTCACCTCCTCCTCTTCTTCTGTCTGGCTCAGCGATCTGGTGCCAACGCCGATCGCAACACGCAGGCTTGAAAAGAAGTGTTTAAGAAATGTTTGCTAAAGAGTCTGTTAGGTGACACCGCTTATTTATTTGGTGCATGTTCCCTATCTGTCAAACTGAGATTTAACACTTCCTGGGCGAGGGCATGCGGCCTGTGAACGTTTTGAATTTCGTTTGCAGTTTCTGCCATGTTTGCTCATTCACTTTCTCGAAGCTCGCATCTTTTTTCCCAGCTGGAGGATATTTGGGTGAAGTAAAATCGCTCACTCGACGTGTGCGATTTCTAATATATTACCTAATCTAACATTAAACAGACTACACTGAAATCGGTTTGTTGGTTGTAATGAAACACACTGATGAAAGCAGCTGATAAGATTAAAGACAGCAGCTTTGAGTCCACAGAATTTGTTCCAGCCACAAACTCATTAAAGGCGTGCAAAAGGGAACTGATGAAAATCATGACCGGTATCATTACAAGTCCGCAGGAGTCCTCTTGTCACTCTCCTCAGTGAGCCAGAGAAGAAAGGCGGCTAAATTAATGTCCTTTCATAAACCGCACCAATAATGTTACAAAACCCGCCACTGTCCTTTAAGTCATGGCCTTTTCCCTCTGTGTGCAATGCCAGCTAAATTAAAGTCCAGGCCGGTGCCGTACGGCGTTGCGTAACCGTTTACACTCTGTCTTTCTGTTTATTGCCAGGATGACAACTCCATGTTCTTTCAGTTTGGCCCCTCCATCGAGCAGCAGGCTTCTGTCATCCTGAACATCATGGAGGAGTACGACTGGTACATCTTCTCCATCGTCACAACGTACTACCCCGGTTACCAGGACTTCGTCACCAAGGTAAGGATCATGAATGTACCGTATTAACACCCCCTTCATCTTTTTATTGCTTTGTCTAATATATAATGAGCTTCAAAGTATTTTATCAAGACGATATGTCACACATGTCAAACTCGGGGACCAGTGGTCAAATTTGGTCTGTCTTAACTTTTTCTGCGGCCTTTTATATTCCAATTGCTAAATTACTTCAACCAATCGCTGATTTTTCCCGATTCCTTGGAAATTTACGGCAAATAAACCGATCCTCTCATTTTTTCAAGCCATTTGTGAGCTAACTTTGAGTTTATTGAAAAATGTCCCCAAATACGGTCAAAACCATTGGGTTTAGGTGACTAATTCCCACCTGCAGGTGGCAGTATTACTTTTACGACACATTTTCCTCATTCTTGCTTGCTTCAGTTTGTGATCCATATGGTGAGTAACAAAAAAAGTCACATTTTACAATATATATAAGTGCAAATATTGCAAGATTCCTTACAAATATTTCTAAAGTAGCACCAAAATATCTGCAATTTTGACCGCAAAAAAGAATCACAGAAAAAAATTCAAAAATTCTGGAGGGACAGTAAAATATTATTTAATTAATAAAACAAAAATAACACTCCATTTTGGTTTGGGGTACTTTTGTCCCTTTTCAGATCTCATTTTGAACCTAAAACTTGTCATTTTGTATTTGCGGCACATAAATGTCTTTTCATTAAATATGGATGATTATAAAAGTCCTAAAATTTTATGTGGATTATAATGTCACTGCATGTAATCATAATAAAGGCTGTTTATTTCGGCTCTGATCTGGTCCGGCTCACTCAAATGAAATCTGGTGAATTAAAACACCTTATCAAACTGAAGAAAACCCCCAGGGAGATTCTGCTGGCAGATATTATTTATTGGAGTTTATTATAACCATATTTCCTTACAGCAGACTGAGTAGATTATAGAAAATGGAAGAAAAATGTTGGTCGACCAAAAACTATTGATTTTCTTCCTTCCACTTTGCAATGAAGCGCTACTTTGGTTTTATTATTTATACAAAATGTTGTTTGTTCTGTGACAACATGTGAAAAAGGCTGAAGCCTCAGCGACGTATTCCTAGATTTTCTTTAAAAATAATTTTTTTTTAAAGCAGCCAGATGTTTGCTTGGCGCCTGTCAGCTGGTCTTATGTGATTGTCACCTGGAAAACTTTTCAACCCTCATGTTTCCCATTTAGAAATTGAATTAGCATCATTTCTCACTTTCTTAATGCATCTAGCACATTTCTTAATGTGGCTTCAAAGTGTTGACATGCAATAAATCCACCTGTTTAAAAATGAGGCATTTCCGAAATGACGTCTCAAAGTAAGAAGACGCTTACAAACGCAAAATCAAAAAACAAATTTTTTTCCCCCACACAGTTCAATCAGATGAAACTTTTCTTCTGAGCTTTCTCTCACTCCTTAAAGAGATAGTAATCATTCTCATTTTTGAAGGTGTTAATAATGAAATCTCACTCTTGTTGCATTTAGGAAATAGAAATAATTTTGGTGATCCTAACTAAGCTAAAATGAGAGACGTTTGGTCTGATTTAACTTCAGACTTTGGTGTGGGTTTCATATAAGTAGAAAATAACTTCTGTCAAATTAACTTAAAGTGCAAAACAAATATTTTTGACCAGCGTTCAAGTTAAATTCAGCTTTGACTGTTCTGAGGAGACTGAGTGGTTCAGGAATCATATTGGTGCCAATAATGTGAAAGATTTTTTTTTCACAACCTGAATTTTAAAACTCACAAAAGTTTGATGATGTCACATTTGGAATTTTCTTTTTCCTCAGGCTGAACCTGGAGTCACATTTCCTCAGATGATTTAGCAGCAACATAATTTGACTGCGTTGTGTTATAACCATGTTTGAATTAAAATGCAAACAAATGAATTTTAATCTGTACATATGGTGGCGTAACACTGGCCACCATACGTACTGGATTCGGATGTTAATGAAGCTCTTTCTCATAACCCGTCTTTGTTCTCCACGTCCGTCTCAGATCCGAAACACCATCGAGAACAGCTTCGTCGGCTGGGAGATGGAGGAAGTTCTGCTGCTTGACATGTCCGTGGACGACGGCGATTCAAAGATCCAGAACCAGCTGAAGAAACTACAGAGTCCAGTGATTCTTCTCTACTGCACAAAAGAGGAGGCCAACACCATCTTCGAGGTGGCCCACTCCGTAGGTATCACTGGCTACGGTTACACCTGGATCGTCCCTTCGCTGGTTGCTGGAGACACTGACGTAGTGCCTGCAGAGTTTCCCACAGGTAGGCAAAAAAAAAGGCTTCTTTTTTGTGAATTTAACACAATTCTATCCTATTTAGGGACGCAAATAATTAGCTGGCATTATTACCTATAAATGGTTATTAGACTAAAATTTGTTCCAATTGATTAAGTGATGGCGTTCTCTTCGACCTTTTTCATTGTTGTAGTTTAGCTGCCATCCAGTAGAGGGCGCCATTGGTCACTCTGAAACACAGCCAGTTGATGCTAAAACAAAGATGGCGGGACCTTACCAGAACGGAAAAGAGAAACGGTGCAGGCAGAGTTCAGTCTGGGATGGGAAATGCACGTTATGTGGCTCTGTTTATAAATATAAACACATGACAAGCTGCCTAAGTTTAAACCTCATCGCACTCGTTCCTCCGATTTGTGTGTGGAGCAGCATCAACTTCTCAACCAAAAATTCCAGATGTGCTATGAAGTGCTATGAAGATGTGCTATGATGACCGAAAAGTGTCATGATGGAAAACATAAGCGGTTGATTTTTGAGAGCTGTCTCAATTCATGAAGCAAAGTTTTAACATCCCTTCAAGCAGATACTGTCAACATTTCTCTGTTCACATGTTTCACATGTTTTATTCTTTTAGTCTTCTATTTTTTTTCCTGTTTATTCAGTCAGTGTTTAATACAGCTCACCCAAAATAATGTTGAAACGGCGTGGGAAGGGGCCATTAGGCATATTATAAAAAAATGATCCCTTTATGTTGTAGAAAGACAGTTGGCCCTCTTAATACAAGAGAAAGTTCAACTTTTGAGAAAACGGACGCTTATCAATTAACCATTAGTTGATGAGAGAAATCATCTTTAGATAGTCAACAGCTTGTATCCCTAATCCTTGACGATAGCTTTTTATTTTAGTTTGAGATCATCACCTTGTATGAGAAGACTTAGGAAACATTCCCTCCTCATCCGTTCTGCAGCCATAATCTAAATTAATCAAGTTGAGTGAACCGCGGCCCACTTTTTAGTTGGGGCCCATTAGTTAAGAAAGAGTGGTCTGTTCCATTTTATGACATGATGAAATTAAAAGAAACCGGCTTTCAAAACCAGTTGTTGACCGAACTCGACGTGCTTCTGTGTCCAATGAAAAGGAGCTGATTTGATCTACTTAAAGTCGTCATTCTCTCCCTTCCGGTCTGCTGAGAACTGATTTCTTCACTGTAGATTTTAAGTCTGGATGTTGGGGACCTTTCCTCAGATAAAAAGAAAAGTGAAGAAACAAAGCGACCTTTTGTAATGATAAGTTAGGAGCCTCTTCGTCTTCGTCTCCGCCCACATCTTCGCCGGAGTCGCTCTAACCTTTGAAGGTCAACCCAAGTGACTTCTGAGTTGGGGCGTATTAAGCACTCAACCTGCACGCGCGGTCTGTCGGGCACAGCTGTCAGGCTGCCAAATGTAACACAAGTTGCAGCACTCTGAGGTGGACAGGCTGTTTGAGGAAGGCCAGATCCCAGTGGGAAGCCAAATCTCTCAGTGTTGGGTCTGGAGCTGCCGTTCCCGCCATCAGAACGTCGCTTTATTTCTGCCTGCTCCCCTCGCAGGGTGGATGTGCGCACATGAAGAGCTTGTTGGTGTTTGACTTACAGTGAGGATTAAACCACTGCCTGTCCTCAGCAGTTTCAGGGGGAAACTTCTTACCTCTACTGCACTTTTGGACGTTGTTGTCAAAGATTGAGCCTTTTAGAGCACCAGGCGAAAAATAACGCAGCCCAGTGTGTTGCTTAGTATCAGTGAGTGTGTACAGTGGGCAGACGCCCTGGGCGACTCCACCTCCAGGGCGGCATCAGCTGCCACATTTTTGCAGTAAAATCTTTTGCCTGTTTCTTCTTTGAAAAGTAATTATTTCACAAATAGTAGAACGTTTTTTTACAATAGTTATCAAAATTGACTTGTTTCTTGAAGTATTATAGATTGAACTGTCCTTAAAAACAACTTTAGATATTAATTGACAGTCATGCAATGAAATTTGTGTCTTGATCAAAATGCATTTGTGATACACGTAATTATATTAATGTTTGACTAATGATGCAGTGAATCAGTTTCACTTATTTTACTTTTCATTGCATGGTATGTATTTGTGCCTTGCTATGTGTTTCTAGTATTACTCTTTCTCCCACATTTTTTCCAATTAAATATTAGAAAGAGACTTTAAGTGTGTCGGTGACGTTACATTGTAATCTAAACGATGCATGTTGGCCCCCGGCACCAAACAGGCCAGGACCGAGTGTGTTTTCATGTCAGCCTGGGGAGCCAAAACGGTGACTTGACGCGCCAAATGAGAGATTCACTTTGTGAAGTTTGATCCATCACCGTATTGGTTATTTAAATCACATAATGACTTTCCGCTTGATTTATGCGGCCAAAGAGATAATTGTGTTGTTTGTGTACAGCCTGACTGATTGCTAAGTGGAACTGTGGAGTGGTTGCACACGCAAACCTTGTTGTTTTTTTTTGTCGTTGTTGAAGCTGAATTATCATGGCATAAATCAAATGGGACGTAATGACAAATAGTAGGCAAAATGTCAACCACTCGTTTTATGCGTGATGAATAAGGTACAGAATGTGCCAGAACACGTTAGTCGAAGCAGGCCCGGATTTTGAACAGCATCAAATGGAGAGGAAAGCGTATAATTCACAGTGAATGAAATATGCTGAAACATAAGCCAGGTTGTAGATGGCCCTGCTATTGCGGGTGCCAGGCAACTGTGTTGACATTGCTTAAAGTTTTCCACATTTTGTCACAGCCACACATATAAATATCTTTCAGTGGGGCTTTCAGGTGATAGAAGTAGTGTTTAATTGTGACATGGGAGAGAAATGATAAATGGTTTTCAATTACGTTTGTATTCACTCCCCTCTAGTCAATACCACAAGTCTTTTTGAGTGGTCTTTCTCAAAGTGGTGGGACCTCGGAAAGATGGAAAAAAAGTGAAGATGTATACAATTAGGTTGTATACATTAATCCAATAATGTATATAATAATGTAATTTGCCATGCTCCTCTTTCTGACCGAAGGAACCGTCCATATTGACCTGTGTGGAAACAATAACATTTAATGCACGGTTTGCATTAGAGTCATGATTCTTAAACTGTGGTATGCCTTTAGGGGTATTCAGAAGCAAAGTATGTATTAATTGTTTGGATGATAGATCCAAAGAAATCAACATTGATGGAAACGACACCAATGGTCCAAGAACAATGGCTGTTGGTTTTCAGTATCAGGCTAGCCACTGTTAGCAATACAAGCCACTGCCTTCCTTTTGTACGCTTAAACTTTCTGGCAGCATAGTCACTGAGTGTGAAAGACTGAACCAGAAACTAGATGTCCAATGAAACTTTTTAAAAAAAACTTTTTTCAGTTTGACTTTCACTAAGGTTACATGTAAGGCGGCCATATTGGATTTTGAGTTTTAGTTTGGTGGAATTCTTCGATTTTTTTTTTTTTTTGACTTTTCCAATTTCCAACCTGAAAATTTGAACTTGTGGGTACAGCTGGAGCACATGCAGCAATTAAACTGCATCATTCAACAAAACATGGACTGCCAATGTATAAAATATCTTTTATTTTTCTTGTCTTGTGCAGCTGCTTCAAAAAGTTCAAAAGATAGTCAAAACTTTGTACTTACTTTGGTAGTAGCTGCGATAACAGGTTGGAGAATCATTGTGTAGAAGACGCTGAAAAACCTGCTGAAGTGGAGAAACGCTCATATCCAGACAAAAACCAATTCTCTTCCAAAAACATTGTCATAAAAAAAGATAATAGTCCTCTTCGCCCAGCAAACCAATTCCTCTGTAATAAAAGAGGACACATAATATTTGCCCCGTCAATTCATTCAGCAAGCTTTTATCTCTTCTCTCAACTTGAACATTAAAGGAGCCACATGATGCCTTCAGGGGCAGTCAAGTGCACCGAGCTCTAAACAAACATTGGGTGAGACGACACTGTGGCGTAGCATGCCACTGATGATTTGTGGTTCAGAGTTCAGCAGAAGGTGCATGCTGGCTGTGGGGATAATTTGCTTGGTTGGTACGCTTAATAATTTGCACGGTGTGTGATGAAGTGCTTCCAAACCTCAGGAGTAATTCCAGTGATGCCTTCGCTACGTCGTGCTCTGCAGAAGCAGCTTGCTGCTCTGTCAAAATTAGCATTTCCACTTTCTTCATTTTATTGTATTTTTTGTCATTTCTGTAAGGTTTCTGTCTTACTCCAGCCTGCTCCTTGTTCATTCTGTTCACATTTATCTTTTTGCTTCTACTCATATGTGCTAGCATAGTAAGTCAAATTGTCCTCGTTACTGACATAAATAAGCTATCGAGCTAAGAATTCTAGATTTGAAATTTAAACCAATAAATGCAAACCAGACTTTGTCATAAAGTTAAAAAAAAAAAACTCTTTAACTAGGCCTTTTAGCATTGTTTTTGCTAATGGATAGCTAGTTGCTATGTTCACACAGTGCTTACAAATCATTCAGATCTTCACTGCAAACATGTTATTTTTCCATAAAGTTCCAAAATCGTCGCTACTGGTGTTACATAGATTGTGTATTTCGCTTTGGTTTCAGTCTAGAGAGGTCAGGGAAAAATCTGTGGAGACATTCAGAGCACAGCTGGGCTATTAAGATATGGTGTTGGTCTTTCACATAGTAATATTTTTACGTTTGTGGTTGTAATGTGACAAAGCATGAAAAGTTAAAGGGGTATCAATAGTTTTGCAAGCCACTGCACATGCAGGACTCATAGCAATGAACTTCTTCTGAAATAAAGTTTGGCCTTTGTAAACACGATCGTAAAGGATAATACAGTACAACTTTAATTCTGGCCTTGGTACAACAATTAATACAAAGTAATCTGCTGTGAAACTAACCTCAAAAAATCTGGAGAGTTTAATTCCTCTGACTGTAGAAATGAGAAAATATAGGCTGCGTTTCTGAAGTCACTTCCTGTTTCATGAAGTTCAAAACACACTTCTGCCTTACCTGAGTGCATGTTCCCTTAACTTTCCCATTTTGAGGAGTTGCTAAATGAAATAGACCACCATATTAGGAAGCAAACAAACAAAAAAAAACATGACTTGTTAATTTAAGCTAAAGTTAGGCAAAGATCAGAGTTTTGTGACAACAAATATTTTCTTACTTCTTCTTGGAGGGAATTTTTTTCCCCCCTCACAAGAACATAAATGTATGTGAACGAAAAATTGCTTTTTTGAAAAGCTGCAATAAAAGATGTTTATTTTTAGAGTTTCCCAGTGAGCATATTACAGGAAGATCCAGATTTTAATCAGCAGTCGCTTTTTCTAACTGGTGGAACATTTCAGATGTGGTGGCGTTGAGCTTACACGTCACCCGTTTACGTGGCCGTGTTATGACATTTCAACAAGCCCTGAAAGAGGAATGAATCCATATGCATCAGGCGGCACGTTCCCAAGGTGCAGAGGAACCCACCTCAGAGCACACGTCACTTACACACATTCCCACCGCTTCCTTTCCATAAGATACAACCAGTGACTTTGTGTTAAAAAAAAAAAAAAAAAGGAACAAGCTATGGGAGCGTGTGAAGAAAGTGTCAAGACTGTGAGATTTTTAGATGTGGTCCTGAAGGGCCGGAGCTGTCAGCGCTAAGGCCCCGTGAGGAGGGCAGGTTGCCAGGCCGCCTGTCTATTTATGCCCACTGACATGGTAGTGGACTGGCTGACATGTGGTCATACACTGTCAGATCGACGCAGATCAACTGAAAGACACAGGGAAAGGACGGGGCTCAGTGGAAGACGGAGCGATGGATGGCGGGATGAACCGGGCCGAAGACCAGAACGGCGACAGAAATCCAGATGATTTTTAACGTACCGAAATGGACAGCTGGCAGAAATGTGCATTTTTAATTAAAATGAATTTGAGGTAAACAATTTGCTCTTTAGTCACTGGCTTTCTTAAATGGCACTCCACTTTGAGGCAAAATGTTATGAATAGTTGCTAGGAAACTAGAGTAATTCAGTGCACTACAATAATACAGCTTTGTATTGTGTAAAGCCTCCTGGTTGCTGAATTTTGTTTTTTCTAGATGCACACGGATTAAAAGAACTATTGATTTGGCTAATAATTTTGCACAGTATTAATATTTTTCATGTTTTTATCATATGAAATACTTGGAACTGCCTTGTTCAAACCTTCTATACAAACAAACATGAACAGATTTTCTTGTTTGCTTGTGTGAATATTTCCACGTCCTAAATGACAGGCAAAGATTTAAAGGGTTGTCGCTCTATCAAAGTAACATGTTGAGATTAGCTGTGCATCTTTCACTCAGCAGGGAATAGTTTGAATTATATGTATAAGAAGCACCTGAACCCTAACCCTACCCTTTTGCTAAGCTAGTCATCGACATAGATAACCTCCTTTCTCTGCTGTCCATTAGCATGGATCGGCTACATACTTTGGGTCGTGTATGCTGACACATTATAATATCACCCATCCACATCTGTAAGCTGCAGCACACAGTTGCAAAACAACAGTGACTTGCCATTTTGCTAGTAATCTAAGCTAATGTGAATATTTACTGAAATAACTTAACCTACTTTCTGTTAACCAATTTATTTTCTGCCCCCAAAGCTTTATTCTGTGCCTCTTCACTTTTAGCTCCCTGTCATCAGACAACACGACTCAAGTGAAAAGAAAAAAATCAACTAAGAATGATTTTCCGCCTTTGCTTTGGTGGCTTCTCTAGGTCAGCGCCCCTATGTGTTGTACATAGTATAATACCAAAATCTTGTGCTTTGGGCTAGCTTTAGCATTGGTTGGCTAAAAACACCTTCCTCCTTCTGTGTATATGCCTCCAATACATTTGAAATAAACCCAACGAAATGTCAAATAAAGCTTTAGGTAAAGTAGAGCATCATGGCGGAATCGGACTTGTCGTAAGTCCGGTTTGAGGAGAGTGATTATATCCAAAACGAGATGAAATCATGACACCAGTTTGTCATTAAAAGAGATAAAACATTTTTGCACAAGGTAACACACACTGTGTCTCATCTCTTAGTGCTGATGCTTTGTCATTAGTTAATTACATTCTGAATGAAAAATATAGATTTTAATCTGAAATGACAGCTGTTCATTAGACGCACGATTGGATGATTTTCAAAATAAATCAACACTCATCATACTTTAGTCTGCTCCCTTTTTCTTCATTCGTCTCAGATTAATATGGTTCCAAAATAGGATAACGAGCAAAATCGAAGTGCCGGCTGTGACCCCAGCTTTACAGAAAAACAGGGAGCAATTCCCAGAGCTTCAGACAATTATGTTGAACGGTTTAAACACTTGGTTACAAAACAATGTAATGAAGAATGAGTTTCCTCAAGGTCACCCTCAGGGATGGGCTTTGAGAAAAATAAACACACTGAAACATAAATGAAAGTACATGTTTTTAAAGTCTTGAAGCTGGGGTTTAAAAAAAAGGCAAGAGGAAATGGGGAGAGTCGGATTAACACTAACTGGATGTCAGACAAATTATGGGGCTGATTGTGTGTCTCTTCATATATCCAAGCCCAAATGAGCAACGTTCAAAAACGAGCCCTACAAAACGCAACCCACGACTTTAGTAAAAATAAGGCCAAAGTCGTTTATACCATCATTTTATAGCCCAATCAAGTAACATTCACTAGGTTCAAAAAAGCGAACAATGTCAAATATGACTCAAAAGAAATTTGACGTTGCAATTTGATGCCTTGAAATTGTGCCTTTGTCCCTTTAAGAAGCTCCTGCTCTTTCAGACACTACGCCTTCAGGAAGCCTCACAACAACCTTCCTCCATTATTCCTTTTTACAACCATTTTTAGGAGTGTTAAACTACAAAGTACAAGGGAGAATGAGAAGCACATTGTTCAGAACAGTGTGGGAATAATCCCAACTGATATGTAATGCCTAAATAATGTACCGATTTAGGACAGGAAAACTAGTTATGTCATGTTATGGACTAACCCACTAATCTTGATGACACGTAAATTGTATCGGGCGAAACTGAGTCGGACTTTTAATTCTCTGCATTGAACAAGGCTGACCTGTCCTCATTCTTCTTATAAATTGCCTGGAGAAGAATCGGCTGACTCGTATCTTCCTTAATTTATAGCCTGGCGTTGTGAAACAGGTTGCTTTTTTACTGATTTATTTGTTCTGCTGTTCTGACAGTAATCGCCTGCGAGCATAGCTAGTGATGTCACCTAGGTTAAATTGAGATTTAATAAGAGGAGGCAGATGGCAGGTTTATTGGGTTATCTTTCAATATTGACAATGTTTGATAAGCTTAACATTTAAATCTCACAAAAGAGAAAAAACAAAATGGAAAACACTTATTCACGGCATACGTATCTCACCTCGTCGTCGCAGGTCTGCTCTCCGTATCCTACGACGAGTGGGACTATGGTCTGGAGGCCCGTGTTCGGGACGGCGTGGCGATCATCACCATGGCGACGTCCACCATGATGATGGACCGCGGACCTCACACCCTGCTGAAATCTGAATGCCATGGAGCGCCGGAAAAGAAGACCCCAATCTCAGGCAACCCCAATGAAGTCCTCAGGTAAGACGGAGGACATAGCAAACCGTACTAAGACTTTCTAAAGGGAAGACGTCCAATTGGATCAATTATGGAGCAATGTTCCACACATCAGGGTAAAGTTTAATTTGGGGATCACCAGGTCAAGAATCTTTTTTCCCTAATGCTGAGACCTTTAGCGACAGGAATTCACAGAAACCAAGTCCAAGCCTGTTGCGTTTACATACATTCAACAAGGTCTTTAATCTACCAGACATATCTAGTCAAAGCATTTTTATTGCTCCTATTTTGTCAGGCTGCCATCAGACAGCAAATAACTTTAATTTTGAACTTAAAAAATTTTAAAAATATGATTTTTAATGGCAATTTTTGAACATATTTCCTTTTTTTTCAAATTGTCTGTTTCATACAATAATATTACAACATAGTGTCAGTTTCAGCAAATATGTAAAAAGATATATTTGCAGTAAAAGTTGCATACTATAGTTTTGAGATCTTAAAAAATGATCTTTTTGGGTTGAAAAACTTCCCTTTTCCCTTAACTTTCAGCCAATCATCGCATATTTGTTATCTTAAAATTTAATTGAATGCAAGACTGGTGCTGGGGGGACAAACATTAGATACTTTAAAGTTTTAAGCATTCACTTTCCTTTAAATTAACACAGATTAATATGGCATTGAATAACTAAAGGGAAAATGCCACATATAGCTGTTTTATATAAGGACACATTCAGGTGATTCAGCGTCTCAGTCTGGTGTAGATCAGCATATTTGCAAAAGAACACAGATGGTGCCCCGCACTCCTGAACGGCAATCCCTCACCTTCCCTACACAGAGATCAGATCCCCTTGTTATCCCTCTGAAACGTAAGCCCGTCCCTTCAGCCCTCCGTTTCAGCAGCAGGCCTCTTGAACCGCTCTCGAAGTGTGCGACCGGCCGCGCCGCGCTCCGCCTAATTGGTTTCAGTGGCGTTCCAGTTGGAGAACGCCGTCCCCTGTCGCGTTGTGCGCCGGAGAGTGCTTTCAGGAGCAGCCTCACCTTCCTGCCGCCGTCCACGTCGGCTCACTCACAGCGTGGGGGTTTGATGCAGAGGAGCAGGCTGTCAGGACCAAACAGGTGTGTCTGTCTGTGCAGGAGGAGCAGCGCCGTCTGAGGCCTGTTTACTGAAGAGGTTGTCAGTGATTCAGTGAGGACAGCGCTCGGGTTGCTGTTGTGACAAAACCGGCTTCCTGCTCGTGTCTTCTAACAATGCTGCTTTGAAATGGAGCTGAAGGGACACACACACACACACACACGCACACACACACACGCACACACACACACACACACACGCACACACACACACACACACACACACACACACACACACACACACACACACACACACACACACCCCACACACACACACACACACACACACACACACACCCCCACACACACACACACACACACTGTAAAATAATTTTAGACCCCTGTGCCTTTTCCATTTTCACTTTTAGATATTCCTTATGAAAAACACTTCAATTTTGTCAGAGCACCACAAAGCAGTGCATAATATGAATCGGGAGAAAAGAAATGTATGTTTTCTGATAAGTTTGTAGAAAAAGATCTGACAAGAGTTCTGCTCTTGTATAACGCTTAGAAACAGTTTTTGCTGCAGTTACAGCTGCAACGCTTTGGGGGTAAGCCTCCACCAAAAAACCTTGATCTGCTTTGAGAATGGATGGTTACGGTTTGGCACTTTTCCACAGTCAGATTTAATCCGTTGACTTTAAATGACTTTAATCTAAAATATTCCTTTTTGGATTTGGTTGTATGTTTAGGATTGTTGCCATTAGGCCGTCTGTATATCCACTAGCACTGCAAGCTAGGAGCTAGTCTCCGTATAGCTAGAAGATATATAGTTTATTTTCATATTCTGATGATTTGCTTAGAAGGCTTAGAAACACTTTGTGCACAACATTTTCCGCCATCCTGGTGTTAGCTTCTCACCAGAAGCTTAAGTTAATACAAAAACACCTCTTTTTTTTATTTTTATAATCACACTCTAACATCCCACTTTGGCATCAGCCGAAACACATACAGTACCACTCACCTCCGTGGCTGATTGCATGTGAACCCCAGCAGCCCTCACCAAGGCCTCAGAGCTTAGCCGTGTACTCCTCTGATATCACTTCAGTCCCAGTCTGCGCTTTACTCCTTTCTGAGGCTTTTGCTCTTGTTTCACTTCTACTTATTGCTTCGAGCCAGTAGTGTAGTTCATGGCAGCTGCTGCTGCCCCTGGAATATTATTCCCCTACTCTATTTGTGTGTGCCTGAACTGCTTTGTTCAACTCTCCTGCGCCGCTCCGTGCTCTGTTCAACCTTATCCTAACCCCGTTCCTGTTTGCCTTTGTCTGCCTTGCCCCCACGGTATTCTCTTTTCTTCTTCTCTGGTGGCACGTCTGTTTTCATCTATTCCGCTTTCTATGCTCACCTCTGTGAATTGGTGCTCACAACCCCTCTCCTCTCTTTCTCTCCTCCTGGTGATTTTCCTCTCGTCTGCACTGCCCTGCTCCTCCCTGGCCATTGTCTGCACTTCAGACCTGCAGTTTTATAATCAACTTAGCTGTGTAGTTGATTAAATTAGTTGCGAGTGCTACTGAGATCCTTCGCCTCTCGCTGCCTTAACTACATTTGTTTGGTGATAACCTTTGTCTTCAAGTGTTCAATCAGGAGATTAGCAATTGGCTAAGAGTTAATCTGCTCTGAACTGAATGAAGCGCTTAGTTGGCTGGAAGGATGCTCCACTTCCTGGACAGTTCACAGCTGAGTCCATTTTGTTTGGCTTGGAAGAAGTCTGGTTCGTTTGGGGAGGTGTGAATTGGACTCTGATGCAGAACACAAAAGCAAACTGTATTCTGCCAGAAAACCTATATTTCGGTTCTGTTCAATGTATATGTGAACATCAAGTGGACCGGAAACCTCCCCAAAAGGAGGAAGTTGACTATAATGCAAGGCACTCTGGGTAAATACAACCAAAACAAACGCGTGAGTCTCGCTATAGTGGGACAAATAGCTCACGGTCTTTTACCAGAGACAAAATAGAAATAATCTGACATACTCGGTGTCTTCTTCAGAGGTTTTTGTGTCATTTCCTTCTGGAGTTCTTGGTGCAGCCAGTTTTGGTCCCCAATCCAACCGAGTCCACCGGACTACCTGGTATGAAAACAGCCTCAGAGAATCAAAACAACAGATGAGGAGAGAGTGACTAGATATGCAGGGTATTTGTGAGAAATATGTTACACATTTATGTCAATGTTGCTTTAGTTATTCATCATGATGGCATCATTGGTGAATAAAATAGTTCCCTTACATTATTTTTTTAGGAATTTCAGACCTGTCACTTATGTTTATATTAAGAGCTCCTCTCTTTTGTGATTTCTTTTTAATAAAAGGGAAAGCGTTGTCATTTGTGCACCACTAAACCACTCTGAAAACATTACACTAAGATCCAAAACTTTTTTTTTTATGACTTTCTTCTATTTCTTTGCTAATGAAAGTTATGCATTACTTTGTGTAGCTCTATCACATAACATATAATACACTAAAGTGGGACAAAATGCAAGAAAAACAGAAAACAGGGTGCTGTGAATATTTTGTTTTCACACTTTTATTGCTAAATGCTCCAGCTTAGCAATAGCAGGACACCTTTAAAAACACATGGACGTCTCTTTCTAATGGTGCTATGAATTTTCCACACTCATTGGTTACTCGTCTTAGAAAGACACAGTTGTTGGTCACCTTCAGTTTGGAGAAGATCTTAAGCCCTCCTGTTTCATTGAAACCTCTAAATTAAAATTAACCGTCTGTTTGACCTGGTTCTGTTTCTACATGTAATATGCAGCTTATAATGTGGAGAATAATTCATATATTGTCTGTCACATTTAATGATTTCCCTGATGAAGAATGCGTAAAAAGACCTAAATGTATATTAATCTTTTGCTGCAGCACCATAATCTCTCACAGAAAGTCTGAATCCATAAAGCAAAGAGTGACAAAGGTTTGAACTTTAGCTCGGTGTTTTGATTGGTTCTGGTTTTGTCACATTTGGTATTCTGTATTTAGTTTTTAGGGTAGGTATGTTCTTTTAATGTTTCTAGATTCTGATTTGTGTTGTGGCTTGTAGTCACCGATTCTCCATTCACACAACACAATCTGAAGAAGAGTTTGGCAAACTCTACAATCAGTAGGCCTGTAGATGCTGGTGGCTGCTATGGAGACTTTATGATCTCATGATGCTGCACTTCTCCAACTGGGAGCTCTGGAAATGTGTTTTTATATTTTCTTTATTGTCATTAGCAGTAGCCAGAGGAGATATGCATCTGGGTGCATACATGGTACACCCAGCTTGTTGAAGCTTCTTCTTCAGTCTTCTTCTTCACCTTTCCCCGTCCAAGGCCTTACTGGTGAAATGTCGTTCTGATACAATAAAAGAGCCCTGATGTACCGCTGACACTTTCATATCCTGATGTTTATTTCCTAAAGTTACCACTTCAGTCCTAATGTAAAGGACCTAAGCATTTTTTTGTCACAAGTGTGTAATTTCATCATCAGTTTTTCATGTACATGTTTGATTTCACATTGTCAAAGAACATCGAAGTTCATATTGTAAACTTATGCCTTTAATCTTGAATAATTATCAGGTTGTCCAGATTTTTTTCTTGCAAATATGTTAAAAAAATCTAGAGTTTTTTGACAGAAATTAACTCCCTTTTAGCTTTTATCTGTTTGTTTCAGTGATTGTGCTGCAGCAATAAAAGCTACATTTATTTTAAGCCTTTTCATAATAAGCTCAAGTCACTAAGATTTTGCATGGCTTTACATTCGTTTCCCATTTGGATTATGACTTGATTGAATATGTTCATGGAGTTATCGATGCTCTGGATTTGTAATCCTCACCCAGTTACGTTGAACGATCTGCCGAGTGGTTTTTGTCATCTGGTCGACTTACACCGATGGCGCGCTCTCTGCCTTGCTCAGCA